TTATGCTTTAAATTCAATCTCGCATTTTTATGTACAGACAATGTTCAACCTTCGTCAAACAAAACAGTGCTCTGGAACATGGATGGTTTTGTGTAAAGGGCAAAGATGCTGACTTTTTTTTTTCTATCGTAAAAAGAGTTATTCAGTTCGAAGCTTGGTTAAAAGGAAAAAAATATATAATCACGTGAAGATGTAATTAATTTAAATGATTGTTCTGATAAGGACGCTCTGTACACCGCGGGTACTCAAACCTGATTTTTTTTTAGCTTCATAACCCTTCAAACTTACCGTTGAACCAACGGAGGGCAACTTCTGAGCTAAAGAGGTTGTAATGGTAGGTGACACTGCTACAGTGATGTCCTTCAACAGTTGCTTGGCTGTGTTGGGGAACACGTCAGTAATTTTAATGATTCCTCCTTTACGTCCCACCTTTCATGTTACTTTCTCAGCAGGCAGAATTTGAGTACGTTTTCCGAATATGAACGCAACTAAAATTTCTCAAAGAATTAATCCATACACTGACTGTTATTCCTAACCTTTTTTCATAACATGCTAGCATAAAAACGTTAGGGTCACGCGTTGCGTACTCAGAAAATAAATATAATATCACATAAATTCTTGAGAATAGGAATATAGCAACTGGTTATAGATTGTAAAAAGAATACTAAGCAATATAAAATATTTAAACTTAACAAGTAAATATAAAACTTTAAATCAATAGATGCCTTACTTATATAAATGTGTTAACTGTAATAGAAAAACTTAAGGCCTTAACTAAAATAGTGCAAAACGTAATAATCTAACTGCCTTCAATTACATAGAATTCTTACACTCTTCGGTCCTTCATGTCAGATATATATTTCACTGATACAGGTTCATATTGTGCTTTTGAGAAAGCAGAAAGAAATATGTATATCAGGATTTTACTACTAAATTTATAAAGCATATTATTTAAACGCAGTTTTTATAAGAAACTAAAGTATAAAGTCACACTTCTTGTTAATTATAGATAAGCAGTCCAGAGTTTACTCGTTCTATGGACTTCACGTATTTGTTTTAGCCGCGGCATAGCGACTCATAAAATGGCTCTTCGTTTTAAAATTTTTTTTGTTTTAGTTTTTTTAGTACAAACTTTTAGCTCATAGCTCCGCCATTTCTTGACCGATTTGAGATCTAATTACAGTTTTG